ACATGACATTTCTTTGTAAAGTTATGGAATTTACATGAAAAGCCCAAATGTTCATTGTCAGCTCAAAGCTACAAATATAAGAGGGAAAAAATTGATTTAGGCTTTTCTTGTAAATTCCGTAATTTTGCAAAGAAATGCCAAGAGCTGGGCAATGTCTCATTTTGATCAGAATTTCGCGTGCTACAATTTCAACTTATTAAGAAAAGTTTTGGAGAGTTTTTGGAGTTTCTGGAAAACTGGTTTTCTAGAAATCCAGTCTTTGGAGGCCTAGCGGGCCAAATCATTGCCATATTCGGATTCAGCACATTTTTTTACCTATTACCCACTAGCTTAGAGCTAAAGAGCGAGGTAGCAGTTGGTGACCTTCCCTCGTAAGTATGACTAAAGTATGTTCCTTTTTCTTTCTCAACTATTCGAATATATAATAAATCAGTACATATTTCTACCATGCAGTTTTAAATAATAAGAAATAGAGTTTGAATAAAATAATTAAGCTTATTCAATCGTAATAATAAAATAATTGATCGTGTGTGGTAAATGATTGAGTTAATCATGTTCCTCTTCTTTGCAAAAATCATGTCCATTGATCGTGCTTTTCGTAATGCGTTTGTAAAATCAGAATTATTAATTTGTGTTTGTTCTGCTGATGTTTCATCCACATCCAGCGTTTCACGTGCAATCAGACCTCTTATTAATGCATTATTTATTGCTATTCGTACTAGTTGTTCAATATGAGCCCCCATCAAGCCATGTGTATCGCAAATAATTCTTTCAATATCAATGTTCTGTTCTAATAGATGATGCTGTAACTTGAGCTTTGTGTAAATATGAAAACTTTTCGTTTTGTCATCTCGATTTGGCAATTGAACTTTTATGGTAACTTCGAGTCGATCTGGTCTTGTTAATGCAGGATCAACTGATTCTCGAAGATTGGTTGTTCCAATCACTAAGATATTGTTCAATTGAGAATATCCATCTAATTTTGTTAATAACTGACTGGTAACATTGTCTCGTACAGTGTCACGCGTTGAGCTGGCATTTGCCGATCGTCGTTTACATATGGCATCGATCTTATCAAAAATAATGACATGTAGACCACTATCTTCTCCAATATTTTTTTCATCCAGTTCAGCATCACTAAACAATTCTCGTATCTTTGCTTCGGATTCACCTAACAAACTACTAAAGACCTCAGGACCATTGACTATTTTCGGCTGTGTTCCCAACACTTGACATATGGTTCTTGCTATTAAAGTTTTCCCTGTCCCTGGTAGACCATACAGTAAAATTCCTCGACAATATTTCACACCAGTTTGATTTATAAACGATGATGGATAAAAACGTGATAATAATACATCGCCAAAAATTTCTTCAAATACATCTTCGCAACCACCAACTGTATCACTTAAATTGTACCGTTTGTTAACAATACTGAAAAATGTATTTCGATTAATATGTGGTTGAGTAATGTATTTGTGGTATAATTAGTTTAAAATGTTTCCGTTGTCGATTGTTCAAATCGACCATTTTTCTTTCAAGTTTAATACTACTTATTGATTGAAACTTGAATGTCCCATGACTATTGGTTATTTCAACGAAAGGAGTTGTAGAAAGATCAATATCTTCTGGATTGAAAACAGCAAAATTGTTCATAGTTTCATCGTAAAATAAAGATGAATTAACTACTAGGATCATTGACATTTTTTTTGGTGCAAAACCGGCGTGTACAGCGAACAAGCCATTTATGGTGTTTGACTACAACTCTATTCCTTATCTTTGTTCTATTTATTATTCATTAGATACGGAATATCATCACGTATATAGGTCAAAAGATAACAGTATAATAGATATTTATTTATCTTTTCTTCCTGTCTTCTACTTTTCAATTTTTACATCGCATATCTTTGTTAAAAAATTTAAGCGGTATCGTCACTTATTATCAATGGAAGAAGTTCGTTTATCTGAATTCTTTATTCGCATTACATGTGCACTATGTGGAACTCTTTGTCTTTCATCTTTATGTGATAACTGCAGAAACGAATCTTGCTCAGATTTCTGTTTATTTTCGTTAACTAAGTTAAAAGATCAAGGCAATGAATATCAAGATATAAAATAAAAATGTCTTGACATTAGTTCTGTATTAGATTTATTTACAATCCTCGATAATCCAGTAACAGAATTTGATGCCATGGATCATAATATTGCTGAAGTATCAAAGAATTTACTAGAACAATATTCTGATGTATTGAATACGGTACCAATCTTCGTTGAAGGGGAGGGTGATTGTTTATTTCATGCATTTCAAGTCTTTTATCCTCAAATGTCGGGTGATGAATTTCGTGTTAAAACTATTAATGAATTGTGTTAACATGACAATTATTACACATCGGTTGTTAACGATGGGATTTTACATTTAGTTGATGACGAGACATTCGAAGAACATGTTAAACGAATCATAAATAATGATCAGCACAGTGGGATTCTGACAATAAGTACATTATCCTCAGTATTAAATCGTGAAATACAATCAATATATCCGAATGTTAATGACAATGATGCATATTTTAAGATTCTAAATAGATCTTTTCATCCTAGAACATGTGATGAATCATTTATTAATGATACATCGTTAAGAATAATGTGGTCAGGACCAGAACCGAACGATGATCATATATGGAGAACAAATCATTTCGTACCATTACTTTCCACAAAACAATATCATGATTCCTCATTACGTCAACCAGCAACAATAACAACACAATCATTAGGCAAAGAAGATAATGGAGTCTGAATTCAAAATAGTTCAGCAGAAACATTATTTGTATTGAGTAAAACTAATAATTATCAGATCGTACGGCAAGGTACACATGGTAAATATTATTATAACGAAAGAAATGGTAGAAAATATGTACCTCATATTGTACAAGAAAACGATGTTGTAAAACTTAATAGGTATGTATGCATGTTATCTGTTTTCGATAGAATTAATGAAGTATGCGTGTTTGTTTTCTTACCTAGATTCTATGCCACGAATAAATCAGATCCAAATTTACGCCGTATGATTTGTTACACCACCAAAAATATAGATACAGAACATCTTCCAATATTTTTACAATATATTTCACCGACCTCATTGATTCAAACACCAGTAATAATGCCTTATGGAAATTCAACGAAATTATCTCGACCGTTTACATCTACTGAACCAAGTGTAATTACTAATACACATTAAGCATATTCACAACAAAAGAAACCATCAGCGATATATAAGGAAAGTATTATTAATGCTCAAGACACAGAAATCCCATCATTAACAACTATACGTGATCGCAAACAAATCTATAATACAAAAATACAGAATTTAACTAATGCTGAAGAATGTTTAGCAATCATGAGACGATTAGAGAAGAGTGACGGTGTGGTGGCTCATTTATCAATGAATCGTGGAGAAAGTCCGGTGATTATACTATCATACAATTATCAGATTCAAGATGACAGAAGATGTTGCACAAAAACTTATGAATATGCACCACCATCTGTATTATGCATGTATAAACCATGCAGCTTTCACTATTAATCAAGTTGTTATATTTACGTTTTATTTCTTCAGGTTTGGATACGACTTTCAATTTAGGTCGTTGTTTTGTTACCCCACATTTAAACTGTACACGTCACGTACGACAAAATATTGAACGTCAGTTAATTAAAATACAAGTTCCAGAAGATGATCGACAAACATTACTGGAAACAATCTTCGATTTACCAGAATCATTAATTCAAGCTGCTGATGCTGATGAATTTGAGAATAGACTGGTTGATTTAGATATTTGGAACACAATAAACAACAATAATTTAGATAATTATCCAAATACAACAGACTATCATGATTGGTTCATAACATATGAAGCAGAGAATTTTCAACAACATTTGATAGCTGGTGTACGAAACGCTGATGGGTATGTCAATCAAGATGGTTCATCACCTCTTTTTTATAACAACGACAATGAAGCAATCAATTTCGCCTTAAAAAGTGATACTAACTGGGATTTAAAGCCATTCTCGGCTTTAGTTGTTATCCTGAATAAATTAATAACGGCTGAAAAAAATGAGACAGTACGAAGTATTCATGAAGGAGGTGAATTCGAACTAGTAGCCCTGTATACAAGGTAACAAATCCTGCATTTACCGTAGTCAGAAAATTTACTATGGTGTCTTTAGATTTATACATGATATTCGTATACTTGTTTTCTTTACTGTGAACTTTATTTTATGTCATCAAAGGGATAGATTCATCTTTTCACTTTGGTTATGTATAGTTGATTTTTCACAGTTTTTTCAATCTTTTATTAATTAATTCAATTAATCAATT